GAAAACCTTCATGTATGGTCCAGATAACATACCAGGTCTGTTTTCTGAGGACCAGCCTAGCTAAATATGGAGAGGCTTATTACCAGTAGAATGACCACTTATTGATAAAGTCTTTAAGCAATGGAAAATACAAAATGGTCTTCAGGCCTGTGCATTTCCCCTTTTGGCTTCTTCAGTAATGTTGATAGAAAGGCAGAAAAGCGGGAAGAGGATGCTAAGGATAATTTTTAGGCCATCTGTAAATTACTTTAATTTATATATGTGATTATTACTTGAAGTTTATATGAGTGAGATTATTACTTATAGTTTATGTGGGATTCATGTTGAGTGAGTGGATGTACTACTCAAGAAACTAAATCTTATAGATCTTGATATTCTCCCTCTAAATGAAATCAGAAGACAAAAGGAAGTTGTAGTCAAGTGGAAAAATAGCTGACACATTCTCCTTAGATAAATAAAGGACTTGGCAGACTTCAAGTTTTATGTGTTCAAGGGCAATAAGAAAGACCATTTCATGGGACATTTAGTTATTCCACATTGCAGTGTTCATGATAAGCATTTACAAAGAGACCATCATGAAAATAATTGCGAGTTAGCTACCAACTGCTGATGCAAACTATAAAAGAAATAAATACATTCTATAAAAAACTTAATTGGGGAAAGGAATAAGCATTTATTAAATGCCTACTACATGCCAGGCAGTATGCTAAATGCTTTTTACAAATATTATTTCATTTAATCCTCACAACAATAGTACCTTCCAGAATGTGAATGTAAAGCCTATATCAGATTGTGCGCCATCTTGGGGAGGGTGAGGGGAAGGAAGGGGGAGAAAAATTTTCAACTCAAAAGCATATGAAGTGATTGTTGATAAACCAAAATAAATTAATAAAATTTTTAAAAAACTATAGTACCTTCCAGATGAAATGATCATATTCTTTGATATTTATTGACTTCTAATGCAGAGGTAGGCATGGGGAAGAGAGAAAAATGTGTTAGAAAACATAGTTCAGGAATAAGAAATGAGAGAAGTCAGAGGCTTGTAAACCATAAAGAAACTTTATGTCTGTAAATCATGAATACTTTCTTTGAGAAAAGAAAGAATTAGGAAGTGCTGGACATGGTGAGGACCAAATAACATGACAAAAAAGGAAACTATTTTTTATTTTAATTTTTTTAATTTTTAAAATATATTTATTTGTTTATTTTTAGTTTTCATCATTCCCTTTTAAAAGATTTTGAGTTCTAAATTTCACCCCCCTCCACTCCTCCCTTCCCAAGATAGCATGCAATCTGATATAGGCTGTACATGTATGATCACATTAAATATATTTCCACATTAGAAGAATCAGAATAAAAGGGAAAAAACACAAGAAAGAAAAAACAACAAAAAAAGAGAAAACAATATGCTTCAATCTGCATTCAGACTCCGTAGTTCTTTCTCTGGCTATGGATAGTATTTTCTGTTATGAGTCTTTTGGAATTGTCTTAGATCATTGGATTGTTCAGAAGAGCTAAGTCTAACAAAGTTGGTCATTGCACAGTGTTGTTGTTACTGTGTACAGTGTTCTGGTTCTGCTCACTTATCTCAGCATCAGTTCATGCAAGTCTTTCCGAGTTTTTCTGAAGTCTACATTCTCATCATTTCTTATGGAACAACAGTGTTCCATTACATTCATATATCACAACTTAGTCATTCCCCAAGGGATGGGCATCCCCTCAATTTCCAATTCTTTGCCACCACAAAAAAGAGCTGCTATAAATATTTTTGTATACATGGGTTCTTTTCCCTTTTTTATGATTTCTTTGGCATACAGACCTAGTGTGGTATTGCAGGATCAAAGCGTATGCACAATTTTATAGCCCTTTGGGCATAATTCCAAATTGTTTTCCAGAAAGTTTGGATCACTTATCAACTCTACCAACAATGCATTAGTGTTAGGATTTTCCCACATCTTCTCCAACATTTATCATTTTCTTGTTTTGTCATGTTAGCCAATCTCTTAGGTGTGATGTGGTACCTCAGAGTTGTTCTGATTTGTATTTCTCTAATCAAATAGTGATTTGGAGCATTTTTTCATATGACTATAGATAGCTTTAATTTCATCTTCTGAAAACTGCCTGTTCTTATCCTTTGACCATTTATCAATTGGGGATGACTTGTATTCTTATAGATTTGACTCAATTCTCTCTATATATTTTAGAAATATTATATATTTATATATTTCAGCTTTCTGCTTCCCTTCTAATCTTGGTTGCATTGGCTTTGTTTGTGTAAAACCTTTTTAATTTAGTGTAATCGAAATTAGAAGCTGGATTTTTTTTTTTAAGGCAGTTGGGGTTAAGCGACTTGCCCAGGGCCACACAGCTAGTAAGTGTGAAGTGTTTGGTCTGAGGCTGGATTTGAACTCAGGTCCTCCTGACTTCAGGACCGGTGCTCTATCCACTGCACCACCTAGCTGCCCCCAAAGCTTGATATATTTTAAAAGATAATAGATACCTGGTTTCTGATGTGGGAGCTATTTCCAAATAAGCTGTCTTTGTATCAGCTTGTTAAAACAAAGATCAAAATCAATACAAACTAGAAGAATTGGTAAAAATGATACCATGGAGTGTTATTGAGGCCACTCCAACCTGAATTATTTATATGATGCCAAAAATTAAGAAATAGATAGATTGACACAGGCTATTACCATTAATAATGAAGTTTAATGCAAATCAGTTACCATGATGAAGAGACCAAAGGAGACTAGATGCCATCTTAAACAGAAAACATTTGATCCTTTCACTAAGCAAAGAGATATGGTAGCCATGCATGGGCAATACCTAGTTAAAATATAAATTTATATATAAAATCTGAGGACATCTAGATGGTGCAGTGGATAGAGTGCTGAGCCTGCAGTCAGGAAGACCTGATTTCAAATTCAGCCTCAGACATTCATTAGCTGTGTGACCCTGTTTGCCTCAGTTTCATCATCTGTAGAATGAGCTGGAGAAGGAAATGATAAACCAGTCTAGTATCTTTGCTAGGAAAACCGCAATAGGATCATAAAGAGTGGGACACAACTGAACAAATAAAATCTTAGAGGATAAGGGTAGAAGATTATGAGCAATATTGCCTCATAAAACAGAGAGAATCTATGGTAAGAAAAGCAGGTTTTTTTAGAAAGCTTGGCAAAAGAGCCAACTAAGCCAGGTCATCCTGTGGGTATTTATGGATGAAATTGGAAGTAAGAAAACGGGAAAAATGGAATAGATCTGAAAGATTTTGATAATGAACACTTTTTGACATCAAAGGACAGTAGAGCCTTCACATTTGGAATTTAAAATAACGTGATTTTAAAAAATTGAAATGCCACTGAAGATAAAGATGGGAAGAGTAGCTGACCCAGACCAAATATAGGAGAGAAGGTGTCCTCTAGAGGGGGTAGCTAGGTGGCGCAGTGGATAGAGCACCGGTCCTGAAGTCAGGAGGACCTGAGTTCAAATCCAGCCTCAGACCAAATGCTTGACACTTACTAGCTGTGTGACTCTGGGCAAGTCACTTAGCCCTAATTGCCTAAAAAAAAAACCAACAAAAAAAACCCGTAATGTGTCATGGGGGAAACACAATACCAGAGACATGGAGGGATCAACTTTTGGAGTATTCAAAATAGGGGAGGATATGAAAATCTTAGAAAAAACACCTCAGACATTATTGTTACTAGGAAAAAGGTGACTGAGAGAGTATTAATAACCACTAACCCATATACCACCTTTCCCATCTGTGCTATATTTTTATGAGAATAATCTACACACGTACTGAAAGCATGCTTGATGGCATGCCATAAGAAGGGAACAGTGATACTTTTGCAAATGTGGGAGCTTTTTCCAAACTTCCCTTTTTCTGTCAAAGGCACCCTTGCAGTCTATCTGATCCATAACCTTGGGGTCATCTTCAGCTTCTTGTTCTCCCTTACCACAGATTTGATCTGTTGCCAAATCCGGATATTTCTACCTCTACAGTATCTCTCACATGTGATTTGTCTCTACTCAAATAGTTACCACCTTAGTCCCTCATCATCATCTGCCACCCAGATTATTGCAGTGGCTTCCTAATTGGTCCCTCTGCCTCAAGCTTGTCATTGCTCCAGTCTGTCTTCCCCGCTGTTGCCCAAGTTATTTTCTTGTACAAATTTGACCATATTACTTCCCTATTCAAGCAACTATGGTGGCTCCCTCTTGCCTCTAGGATCAAATATGGTCTTCCTTGTTAGCTCTTCACCTTTTGGCTCCAAGCTGGCTTTCCAGGCTCATTGGACATTATGACCACACTCTGCAGTCCAGCCAAACGGGCTTTCTCACTTGCCTCACATGTGACATTTCATTTCCTATACATGCCTTTGCTCTGGTTTTCCCATGCTTAGAATGCTCCCCTTTCTTATCTCTGCCTCATTAAAATCTCTCTCTTCCTTCAAGATTCATCATAAGCACAGTACCTGGCATGTAGTGGGCACTTAATAAATGTTAATTGACTGATTTATTGATTGATGTCCAATAGACAGTTAAAGATGTGACAAATGTTCTTTTTGCTTCTTTCAGCAACCAAATTTCACGTATAGAAAAAGGGATAGTACCTTATATAAGCATAACTCAGGTTCTTCCTCCTATGTAGGGCCTTTACTAATCCCCCCCCAGTTATTGGTATTCTCTTCCTATTGGAATTACTTTGTATATACTATTAAGCACAAAAATAAATAAAATGAAACTATGAAAAAAAGAAATTACTTTGTATTAACATGTACATATACTTTGTGTATGTTGTGTTTTCCTGGTAAAACACAAGCTCCGTCAGTGCAGGGACTGCTTTTGTGTAGCCAAGGATAGTTCGTGGCACAGAGTAGGTACTAACACAATGTTTGTTGAATTTAATTCAATTTATTCAATTAGCTAATTAAAAATGAAGTAGTTATAGTTCCTTTACACATTAAGATTGTCCTAATGCTGCTCTTCTGGTACAGGTGCTGTGCCTGAGGAAACACGCCTTTTCAAAACAAGCTCTTTCATTGTAAGGTAAGTATACCATCACATCCTACTTTCTGGTACATTAGTGATGAAAGGCATTAGGCAGTCTTGGGGCATTCCTGATGGGCCCTGTCCAGCTTGAGACAAGGCGCAGAAGAATTAGCTGTTTGCTTCTTGCTCTTTCTCCTTTCCTTCCGGCTTTTGGTGGGCTGACTTCGGCTGTGTTCTTTAGGGAATTGTGTGGAGATTTACTCTTTTTTGTTTGTTCTTAAGCAGTGAAGGAAATAGAGATTTAGTGTCAAGCCTTCAGGCACCTTGTCCTATAACCTCCCCACTGATGAACAGGTAGAATACCTGAAAAGAGGTGGGCTTCTTGCCATCAATAACAGTGTGATTCTTCAGACCTGGACATAGAAGATGCCTCAGGGACACAGACCCTAATCCTTATATGGGGAAAAGAGTCAGGAGTCACACTTTACTTGTTAGCAAGTCCCATTTAGCTGCTTGCTATACTTGCTAGTTCATAATGCTGTGACTGTGCCACAAGCATAGTGGTTATCTCGTCCAGTAGTGAGTTCTCCAATAATATTGGAGGTCTTCAGTCAAATATCGGATGACCAGTTGTTGGTGGTTTGATAGAAGGATTCATTCACTAGGAAGAGAGTTGTAGTTGATCGCTGTTAAGGTTCCTTACAACCAAAAGGATCATAGAATTCCAGAGTTGGAAGAAACCTCAGCAGAAAACTCTGTACCTGTCACGGGCACCTGTGTCCCTGACAGTGTTTATTTTCCGGTGAGTATGAGAAAGATAAAGAGATACACAGGCCAGGTGGGTAACAGGTTCAGAACCAGTTCCGTTTATTGATCTGAGGGCTAGGGTTTTTATACTCCATTCGTGGGAACAGAACCCAGAGTGGAAAAAACCAAGTATCAACAATAATTTTTCTTATGGTAACAGTAACTGGGGGGAGTCCCCCCTGGAGTCGTCTCCTCACTTCCCGGTTATCTTTCAAGGTTTGTTGAAAATCCTTCATCTTCTCAAGGGAAAGACAGCACCTGGGAGAGATCCGAGAGCCGACGTTCTGACCTAGGTGGCTCTTAGATAATGGACAGGAACAGGAACAACCTGGCCTGACATAAATCCTCAACCTATCAGTGCAAGCCCTCAACATGTACCTAAGTCAGAAATCTACTTTACAAACTTTACTTGAAGATCTACAGTGGTGGGGAACTCACTCTGCCTTTGGGTAGTTCTAATTATTAGAAAGTTCTTATATAAGGTTGAAATCTGCCTTTCTGCAGTTTTTACCCACAGTGTCTAGTTCTCCACTGTGGTGCCATGCAAAAAAAAAAAAGTCCATTTCTTCTTTCTATGGCAGTGCTTCAGAAAACTAGAAGACACTTGTCATATCTCTGCTTGGACTTCTCTTTTCCAAACTGAACGTTTCCCATTCTCTTTTGATCCTGAAATGATAGGATTTTGAGTCTCTTCTTCATCTTCATTGCCTCTCTCTGTTATCTCCTTCTGCTAGTCATTGTACTAGCTAATTATGTAGCACCCAGCAGTTGAAAGGAGAGTCCATGGTCCACAACTCTGTAACTGAAATCATTTTGAGGTCCTGCTAGCAAATATGTTATAGATGGGTAGTATATTTAAAAAAAAGTTTTATTGCTCTTTTTTCTTCTTTTTTTAAAAAATCAGTTGTCTCTGGATATCTCTCCTTCCAATGAAGTTTCCTTTGTTTTAAATTTTTAAAAAAATTTGTTTTTATGTCATATTCATTTCTGAATAAATTCCTCTGCTCCCCTACCCAGTGAGCCTTCCCATATAACAAAGAACTAAAAAAACCAAAAAAAGTTGAACAAAATAATTGACAGATCATCTCGATCTGAAAGTATATGTAGTATTCCACTCCTCTGCTATGCCACTTCTGTAATAAGAGAAGGTATAGCATTTTCTTATCTCTTTGGCCAAGATCGGTCGAATTACACAGTTTTCACATTTAAAAATTTTATGCTTATGTTTTTATGTCACATTCATTTATGAATAGATTCCTCCCTCTACCTAAAGAATCTGCCATGTAACAAAGATTAGAAGAGAAAAAAACAGTTTGTCAAAATTAATCATCTTGACCACATTTGACAGTAAATGCAACATTTCGTGTTTATGGTCTCCCTGTGTCTCCAGTAAAGGGGAAAAGTTACATTTTCTCATCTCTTTAATCTGGAGCTAGACTTGGTCATTATAATTTTACAGTGTTTCATTTTATTCTTCTTTCTATTACATTTTTAAATTATTATGTACTTTCTTTTCCTAGTTCTGATGACTTCTTTGTTTTGGTTCTTAAAAAAATTTCCCTCATTTATCTGAATTCTTCATAGTCTTTGTTTCTTACGGTGCCACAATATTCCATTACATTGATATACCACAGTTGGTTTAGCTGATGGGTACCTGCTCTATTTACATTTCTTTGCTATCCTAAAAAATGGTGCTAATTATGAACCCCTTTGTTTCTGTCCAGACTTTGTTGGGGCACATGCTTAGCAATGAGGTGTCCACATCAAAAGTTATGCACATTTTAGTAATTTTTTTTCCTAAGCATGATTCCAAGTTGTTTCTAAAATATTAGAAAAGTTCACAGTTCTGCTAACTGTATTTTAGTATTCTGCCTTCCTGAAGCCACTTCTAAAATTGATTCTTTTCACTTTTTGTCATCCTTTACAATTTTCTAGGCATGAGGTAGAGTTATGGTCTTTAATTTTTAAAAATATTTAATTTTTTTCCAATTGCATATAAAAACACTTTTTAACACTTATTTTTAAAATTTTTGAGTTCCATTTTCTCTCCCTCCCTCTCCCCTCATTGAGAAGGCAAGTAATTTGAGATAGGTTATACATGTGCAGTCATGCAAAACATATTTCCATATTAGTCATGTTGTGAAAGAAAACACAGACCAAAAAAAACCACCAAGAGAAATAAAGTAAAAAAAGTACGCTTTGATCTGCATTCAGACTCCATCAGTTGTTTCTCTGGAAATGGATTGCATTTTTCATCATAAGTCCTTCAGAATTGTCTTAGATCATTGTATTTCTGAGAAAAGCAAAGTTATTCTCAGTTTATCATTGTACAGTATTTCTGTTATTGTGTACAATGTTTTCTTGGTTCTGCTCACTTTACTTTGCATCAGTTCATGTAAGTCTTTCCAGGTTTTCCTGAAAGTATCCTGCTTATCATTTCTCATAGTACAGTAGTATTCTGTCACAATCATATACCACAGCTTGTTCAGCTCTTCCTCACTTGATGGGCATCCCCTCAATTTCCAGTTCTTTGCCACCACAAAAAGAGCTTTTATAAGTATTTTTGTACATATAAGTCTTTTCCCTTTTTTTAAATCTCTTTGGAATGTAGACTTAGTAGTGATATTGCTGAATCAAAGGGTATGCACAATTTTATAGCCCTTTGGGCATAGTTCTAAATTGCTCTCCAGAATGGTTGGATCAGTTCACAACTCCACCAACAGTGCATTAGTGTCCCAATTTTTCCACTTCTGCAACATTTGTCATTTTCCTTTTCTGTCATTCTGGCCAATCTGATGGGTGTGAGATGGTAGCTCAGAGTTGTTTGAATTTGTATTTCTATAATCAATAGTGATTTAGACATTCCCCAGTTGATAAATGGTCAAAGGATATGAATAGGTAGTTTTCAGATGAAGAAATTAAAGCTATCTATAGTCACATGAAAAAATGCTCTAGAAGAGAATGTGAAACTGAAAAAATTTTTAAAATGAATGTTAAAAATTGTTTTTATATGTAATTGGAAAAAAATTAATGATTTCTTCTGAAAAGTATCTGTTCATATTCTTTGACCATTTATCAATTGCAGAATGATGGTAGAATTGTTTTGACATGCATTTTTCTTTATATTGGGGATTTGGAACAGTCTTACATATGATTATTAATAGCTTGAAATTATTTTGTTCAAAACTGTTTGTTCATAACTTTTGGCCTATTATGTGTTGAAAAAATGGCTCTTGGTCTTATATATTTGTGTTAATCCTCTATATCACTGGGCTCTCTGACCTTTATCAGAAATACATGATACAGAGTATTCTCAAAATGGCAGTTTGCCTTCTTTTTCTACCTATATTGATTTTGGCTGTGAAAAAGCTTTTCAATTTCATGTAATCCGAAATAGGCTGCTTTTTCTTTTGTGATTAGATCTCTTTTGTTTCTTGTTTGATTTGGAATTCCCTCCCTATCCATAGGAAGAAAATATCTGTTTTCCAAATCCAGTTTTTTAATGATGTGTTTTTAAAAATATTTGGGTTAAGCATCCATTTGTATAGAGTGATAGTTTAACAATTGTCCATACAAGGGCAGCTAGGTGGTGCAGTGGATAGAGCACTGGCCCTGAAGTCAGGAGTACCTGAGTTCAAATCCGGCCTCAGACCAAACACTTGACACACTTACTAGCTGTGTGACCCTACGCAAGTCACTTAACCCCAATTGCCTAAAAAAAAAAAAAGAAAATTAGCTATTGGGGCAGCTAGGTGGCACAGTGGATAGAGCACTGGCCCTGAATTCAGGAGGACCTGAGTTCAAATCCAGCCTCAGACATATAACACTTACTAGCTGTGTGACCCTGGGCAAGTCACTTAACTCCATTGCCTAGCCAAAAAAAAAAAAATTGTCCATACTGCAGGGGAAAACACTTTGACCACCTTTGATATATGCATTGCTTTGGTAAAGGAAATCTTTTCCATTGTATAATTGGTCTTTTTAAAAAGGCGAAATGTGATCAACTCATCATTTTCAACATTGTTTTTCTTTAGGTTCCAGTTGAGAGGAGAGAATCCCAGCTGTTCTGCAGGTGAGCAACTTTTCCTTAAATAACTAAAACTATGCTTCTAGTCCTCCATGCATAATACAAATAATAATACAGAGTACAGAATAACACAAAGCACATGTTTTGGAAAAATAGTTCAGAAGATGCCCCCCACCTTCCAGAAGCAAAATATTATTTTTTAAAAGCTTTATTTTTTTTATTCTCAACTTAAGCACCAAAAAAAGGACATTTCCATACACAGAGCAGAAAGCAAAAAGAGGATTGTTCCTGGAACAGTAGCTCTCTGCCTCATGCTGTCTGCTTCTTTCAAAAAGTGTATGATAATTTCTACATTCAGTGAGTCTTGGTAAGACTTACCACTTTTGTCTTCTAAGCTATTTATTCTCCTTCTAATTCTTTCTTCTAGAACTTTTTTTCATTTTAAAAAAAATGGAAATCCCTTTTTTAAATTTTGATTCTCTGTTTGCAGTTTTTGGAGTTGCTTTTTCCTTCTTTTAGAGGTCTCTAGGTCTACAATAATTTTTGATACTGGTTGGTGTTTTCTTTGATTTACTAATTTCTCCAACATTAGGTCCTGAAGTGGGTCTTTGTGCCAGGGCCAGGCTCTATTCTGTGGGTGAGATTTTGGCTCTGTTTAGTCTTAGCCCGGGTTCTGTGAATGAACTCCACCTCCTAGAGTTCAACTCCACTAGAATCTTTGGGGTTCAAAGTGGTTGATCTTTAGGTCCCTCCATGGTGTCTCTGGAGCCTCTGGGTCTCTAGGCTATTCTGATCTAAATGCTGCCGTGTAGCACTAGTCATTGCCACTCCAGAGGTCTTGCAAGGTCTCTATCATGGGGCTTTTTTAGGGGGCTGCTCTGTTCTTTCTGCTTCTAGACACAGAGCCTTACAGGCTGTGTGTCTCTGGCCTGTATTGATAGGCTTGTTAGCTTATTTGCTGGGGTATTTCTATTGCCTGTGACTTTCTGGCTGACCTTTTGTTTAATTCTGAGGTGGAAGGAGTCACTTACTATAATTTCTTGTTGGATTTATTGATCTTTATTTGGTCCAGTTTGAAATTCAGGATTTTGCTGGAGTAGGTGCATGGGAACTGGGTGGTCTGCTTCTGTTCAGGTCTTGGCCAGAAGTCCAGCATAATGCTCTAATACAGAGGCATCGTAGTAGTTGAAAGGACACTGGCTTCAGGAGACCTGGGTTTTAGGCCTAGCTTTACCAGTGAACAGCTGTAAGCAAATGACTTTCCTTATCAGCTTCCTCTCTTGTAAAATAAGAAGGTTATATTTGTTATGTGGTCTGTAAGGTCCCTTTCAGGTGTAATATTGACTTGTGGCACCTTCTAGTTTTGACAGTCTGTTCTCCAAGGTCTCTTCCAATCCTGAAGTTCTGTGTTTTGGGCCTTTTTGATCTAACTTTATAAATTCCAAGGGCTCTCCCTGCCCTACAAAAGCTCTGGTTCTTTTATAGGACACCAGGTTTTTGCTTCCATTGTCTGTGAGAGGCACTCAGAATATGTTTTTTGAATGAATAAATGACTGAATCTACCACACTAGGACCCCTTTCATGATTGGCTGTTCAAGCAAAACCAACAGGCTTAAAATAAATGCCCCGATTTCTCAGCTGGTCCACAAAGTAGTTTGATTAACCTGACAAAGTCTCTGTGACAATTTGAGTGCTTGGTATTTCTTCTTTACCTGTTTCTCTATTATGGAATAAGTCTGTTATGGGATAACATTTCAAGGAATTGTCTGATTTTACTTAAATCTGGCAAAGGGTATGAAGTGCCTTTTAAGTACTTTTTAAGTACTTTAATACATTACTTTGAAACAAAATACAGTTCACAAAAGTTTTCAGGTGAATTTTTTTTGGTAATATTTAAGAAACTGCTTTGAGACTTGTTGAGACAGAGATTATAGAGGCATATGGTTGCATTAAGGGACAGCTGCAGCTCACAGCATTGCTAGAATGAGAAGGTTCTGGATGGGAGAGATAAGTGTGGTAGATGGACATTCTCGAGTGACAGGTTTTGACAGAGTAGAAAAAAGAATTCTCACAATTAATTGGAGCTGTACAGCCACAGCATAGACAGTGCTTTGAGAAATGGGCTCCTCATTCCTGGAGGGTCAAGCAGATGCCAGTGGACCATTTCATGGAACTGTTGAACAAGAGCCTCGTATCTGGGGTCTTAGGTTGAACAAGGTGATCTCTAAGGTCTTTTCCAACACTACATTTCTTTGATCCTTTGCTTAGCACAGTACCTGGCACATAGTAGGTGCTTAATAAATGTTTATAATTGACTGATTCTGGAAGAATTGTTTCTTCCATAGTGATGAAAAATTGGAGGGGCAGCTAGGTGGCGCAGTGCATAGAGCACCGGCCCTGAAGTCAGGAGGACCTGAGTTCAAATCCGGCCTCAGACCAAACACTTGACACTAGCTGTGTGACCCTGGGCAAGTCACTTAACCCCAATTGCCTAAAAAGTAAAAAAAAAAAAATTGGAGCACACATATCATCTGTCTTTTTTCTGTCCTCCTGGATGCTTTTCATGAATCTACAGAAGAGGAGCTTAACATCCCAATACTCTTTGTTTTGAAAACCAGTCATTTTATCAGCTTATACAATAATCCACAGATCATTAAGTGCAAAAAGAATAGTAACAAGATAGTGACTTATCCTTAGATGATTTCTCTCTGAACCCCTCAAAAAAAAAAAAGGATGAGAAAAATGAGATGAAAATATATGAATAATTGTGTTTCCCTCAACTTCTGGATTGAGCACTTTTTCTTTTAGTTTAGTCGCCAGAGGCATTGTAGGCTAATCTAATCTGATGTGTTGAAAGGTACTCTGTCATCTTGCCCTCAAATTGAGGAGAAAATACATGATTATTTCCTTAAAAATGTTCTGATTGAAAGATTTTCTAAGCTTCTGTTTGAAACCCTGGAGTTTATTGTCTTCATTTAGGGGAAAGTGCTGTCACTTTTCTCAAGAGGCTTATGTTAATGTGGCAGCAGGAGACCGAATTTAATGATGCAGAACAAGCCAAAGAAGAAAAAGATCAGTTGAACTCATTGGCAATCAGAGGCTTTTAAAACCTTGTAAGTTCTATAATTAAAACAATTGACTAATTAAATGGTTTAACCACTGGTAAATTGACCAAAGCCTTCCATTTCAGGGGGGAAAATTGGTTAATTTAACAGTGATTTGAACCAGCTTCTTAATTAACCAGCTGCTGTAATTATAAGAATTGCCCCAAACTACAATTGAAAGTGCTTGATTGCCAAGGAACATCATCAGTAGGTCAGATAGCTTCAGTCATGACAAAGCATGATGGTGATTAGGGTTTTTGTTTTGTGGCTTAAAGCTACTAGTAGGAGAGTTGGTGTTTTTATAACTAAAGGCAGAGATTTTAAGTTAAGTGTCTTTTCATTTGTACCAAGATATTTTGTTCCTTTAATAATTACTTCAGTTCCTTCATTTGGGTTTTCCTTCCTCTGACCCAGATTATAAACATTTTACAGCTTAGTAAATGGGGTTTGTGAGTCAGGGTCAAGAAAATTTATCCCTAGTGGCTAACTTGAGTGATGATATTAAAAAAAAAAAAACCCAACACCAGACAACACATTTAGATTAGTCCTTGGACAATGAACACGTAGTCTATTCCCACCCACCCACCCTTGGTGGGTGATTTAGTGTTTTTCTAACCTTTGCTGTGCTCTTCGCTTAGGCAGCAGTCAGCACAGTCCAATACTCAGCACTTCACTAGGTGCATGTATAATACAGGAATTATAAACATGCAGGGTGTGCAGATGTGACCTAGGTCACCAGAATCTCTAGCAATATATTGCTGTGGCACAAAGAGCTCTGTAGTCACAGGAGGCCTGAACTCTCCTAATAATAATGAATATTAATAATATTAATAAAAATATATCTTAATAAATAAAAAATACCTGTGAATACAGATACAAGGTAACCTTGAAGAAGGCATTAGTAGTGTGTGTTGGGGGAAGTGGGGAAAGAGGTGTGGAATAACACCAAGAAAGGCTTCATGTAGAAGTTCACTTTTTTGCAAAAAAAATTTATTTTTGTTTTCAGTTCCAACTTTTTTTTCTCCTTCCACCCCTCCCCCACCTATCAAGAAAGCAAGAAATATGGTACCCATTATGCATGTGAAATCATGCAAAACATTTCCACATTAACCACATTTCAGTGAAAAATCAAAAAGTGGAAAAAATATGCTTCATTCTGCATTCAGTGTTCATCTCTTTGGAAGAGGATGCATTTTTCATCATGAGTCAAAATGTGCATACCCTTGGACCCAGCAATAGCACTTCTAGGGCTGTATCCCAGACAGATCATACAAATGGGGAAAAGACCCACAAAAATATTTATAGCAGCTCTTTTTGTGGTGGCAAAGAATTGGAAATTGAGGGGATGCCCATCAATTAGGGGATGCCCATCAATTGGGGAATGGCTGAACAAGTTGTGGTTTATGAATGTAATGGAATACTATTGTGCTATAAGAAATGATGAGCAGGTGGACTTCAGAAAAACCTGGGAAGACTTTTATGAAGTGATGTTGAGTGAAATGAGCAGAACCAGAACATTGTACACAGTAACAGCCACACTGTGCGATGACTGACTTTGATTAGACTTAGCTCTTCTCAGTAATGCAAGGATCTAAGACATATCCAAAAGTCTCATGATGGAAAATGCTATCTACATCCAAAAAAGAACTATGGAGTTTGAATGCAGATCGAAGCATACTATTTGCTCTTTTTTTCCCTTCTGTTTTGTTTCCTCTTTCTTGTGGTTCCTCCCGTAGGTTCTAATTCTTCCTTACAACATGACTGATATGAAAATATGTTGGGGCAGCTAGGTGGTGCAGTGGAGAGAGCACCGGCCCTGGATTCAGGAGGACCTGAGTTCAAATCCAGCCTCAGACACATAACACTTACTTGCTGTGTGGCCTTGGGCAAGTCACTTAACCCCACTGCCTAGCCAAAAAAAAAAAAAGAAAGTATATTTAACAGGAATGCATATGTAGAGCCTATATCAGATTGTGTACCATCTTGGGGAGGGGGGAAGAGAAAGAGGCGGAGAAAATTTAAAACTCAAAATCTTATGGAAGTGAATGTTGAAAGCTAAAAATAAATAAATAGTTTAATAAAAACAAACAAACAAAAATTATTGAAGTGAAAGACAATGAGCTGTCCAAGCTTGTATAGCTAGTGAGGGGCAGAGCCAAGACCAGAATCCCGCCATGGACTCAGGCTACAAAAACCTCCACAGCATTAAGAGGCCAAGTAACTTACCTGACTCTAGTGAACCAGAAACAATATTGGGGTAAAAGTCAGGGGCTCTGGGTTCTTAATCCTGGCTCTGCCATTAACTTGTGTGACCTTAAGTAAATGTCTTTCCCTGGTTGTCCTTTTCTTTCTCTGTAAAGTTGTTGGACTAGATGGTCTATGATCTCTTCTGCTTCAAAGAGTTTCTGACTGTATGGCTCTAAGAACCATGTCTCCATTTTAAAGGAGCCTCGAAACTAGTCTGACTTCTTTTTTCTCTTTAAGGAAGCATTTTCCTGAGCATCAGCCGGCCCTACAAGTCCAAGCCCACCCATGGCATTGGCAAGTACAAGCACCTGCTCGTTCCAGGCGAGGTAAGCCATGCTCTTTCTAGGCTGAATCACTTGTTGGCCAAGAGTCAAGAATCATAAATGCATGGAATGGGAAGTTTTCAAGTTGGATGGACAACTGGGTGACTTTGTACCGTTACTTCCTCACTGTTCCTCAGTGTCCTCATTTCTAAAATGAGAAGATTAGACAATATGATTTTAAAAATCCCTTCTCATACCTTCCTGCCCCACTTTGACATTCTGATATAAGGTCCCTTCTGGCTCTAATATTCTCTAATTTTCTGATAGTGCATAAATGAAACTTAACATTTTTACTGGTGGTCACGGACTATCAATTTCATTTAATTCAATTGAAAAAGCATTTATTAAGCACTTACCATGTGAAGAGCACTGAGCTAGGTGCTGGGGATGCAAAGACAAAAGAGAAATGGTTTCTGCCTTTTAGAAGTTTGCATTCATAATCCTGCAATTATAGAATGCAGAAGCTTGACTGTGTGCCTCAGTCTGTAGGCAGTAAGAAGCAACAAGTAGCTAGAGATTGGAGATGAATGAGAGAGTCTGGAGGCTGGAAGGGGCAACCTGCAGGAGAAGATAGATGGAATGGGTTCATTTGTGCATGTGGAGTGGTTTGCCTTGGCAAGGAGAAGGTCTGCTTTATTGTGTGAGACAGGTGAAGGAGGGGATTATGTCAGGAAATGTCTGAGTGAAGTGATATGAGGAGGAAGGAGGAAGAGGGAACTCTAGGAGAACAGCCTTGATTTTTTTTTCAGTGAAATATGAGGAAGGGTTGATATGTGATGGCATATGCAGTTTTCTGTACTTTAGTCCACTTGGTGGATATTGTTCCACAGGTGGGTAAATAGAACACTTACGAAAATTTTGTGGTTCTGCTTGGGGAGGCTTCAACATGAGCTTGGATTCTTTTTTTTTTTAACTTAATGCTTACCATCTGCCCTTCTAAGCTTGCCTACTTATCCCCATGCTGGCCTTTTTCCTTCCCCTTGACTTCCATAGTACTATATACCATTAACACAAGATTATTTGGACTTTTGTCACTCTGCTAAAGATAGGTCCTTTGAAACCTGTACCATGTACTTCTGCAGATTATTTCTCTCCTGAGAGTGTGTTCTCTGTAGACCTATGAATTGGACACAGCTAGTTTTTGACTAACGACACCAGGTTTAGGAAAAGACTTTTCTCTGTCTTTGGGGGCTCTAAGGCTATTAGCACTTCCCTGGTTTCTTCCTCTGCTATTAGAGGCTGTGGAACCATAGTCTTAGTCCTAAGTTTTCTAAGACTAGCTTAAAACCTGTTTTTGGCAGCACCTGCCATTCCTAGTAACAGTGAACAGCATGCAGGGACACAGGAAAACATTTCCAAGGTTAATTAGGTTACCCAATTTTATCCACTAGTTATATGTTATGAATATAATGGCATGTGTACTGTTAGAGAGATTCTGCCCACATTTTCCCACCAGTCTATTACAGAGACTGAAAGAGGGGGACAAATTTAATAAACTTCATACCTACATTTTCCCCACCAGAAGCTGTTAATAAGTCAAAACCCCTTATCTGTTAAGGGTCTAGACTTTTTTTGCCTAAATGTCTTTTTTTTGGCAATGGCTGATAGAGCACCTGGGAGGCTGAATTCCACTAAATAAACATACAACGTTGCTTTAGAGATAGATAACTTACTGCAGATTATTAAACAGACCACTGGGGAAATTCCTACGTTAGTACAGACATAAAAATCTATCAGAAATGATTCTTATATAGTGAAAATAGAATGCTTAACAATAACCCTAGAGATCTGAGATATAGTATTCTTTTTTGAAATTATGACAGTAAATTACCTCTCCTTGGCCTAATTGGGGTAATCTTGACATGTAGGGGAGATAGGTTGAGATGGAGAGAAAGACTTGGTTGATTGGTATGTGGAGTGAGGGAAGAATGGAGAGTCAAGAATGACTCCTCATCTGTGAATGAGTCGATTGTTGGCAGCAGTTTACATTTTACGTGGCAACAGTTTTCAAAGAAAAAAATTAAAGGAGCATACAAGAAAGAAAAGCAATACATTTACAAAGTCATGTCTGTAAACTTCAAGAAAATTTGTAAACTTCAAAGGAAATTTGGACATTTGGTGAATTTCACTTTTAAGTGAAAGATGATCTGCTAAGAGCTAGGAGAGTCTGATTTAAACTACTGAAATGTATAGGGTATAGGAAACAGAAGACTGGAAGCTTAGGCCCTTTGAAGAACAGCCACAGGGCACTAGGGGCCAGAAGCAGTTGGAACTGTTTGAAGACACCAGAAGCAAGAGAAGAAATTTTTGGCTACTAGTTCTTGATTGGCTGCAGGAAGACTGTAGTTGCAGCCAGTGCCCTTCATCGCCACCTAGAGCTTCAGGGAGGCAAGCCTCTCAAAATTACACGGTCCCCTTTTCTGTCCCCTCTGATTTGAAAGGGAAAAGCAGAAACGGGAAAGACAGGTACTGCTGCTGCTTTGCTGTTTAAAAAGAACTGGCTAAGCTTGTTTGCTTTGCCCAGGAAGTCAACCTGAGTTATTTTGCTTATATCTCATTGCACAGTGCAACATCTGGACAAACGAAGAACCGGTTGGTCTGGTCTCTATAGCCCATGCTAGCTAAACTGATGACTTATGAAATTCTTTGGCTCAAAGGGAACTGCTATTTAGATTAAGAAATAAAACTTTCTAAACGTTCTTTAGGGGTGATTTTGAGTTGAAAGAGCTTGTGTTTGAGGAGATGAGAATTTGTCTAGCTGGATATTTCTGAGGACCAACAGATAAGCACTTAGCAGAGGAGCAGTTTAGTGCTGAGGTTCCTAAATGTATCAATGATATCAAACCCTGCAATCCAGAGTTTTGATTTCCCCTAAGCATCTGAGTTTCCCTTCCTCATGTGCTTCTCTGCCAGCTTCCTGTAAGTACGTGTTCACTCATCCTCATAGATGTCGAGTGCATTAGTAGGAGAATGTCACCTAGGTTTATGTGTAGATTGTGATGTAGTTTATAAAATTCATGGAATTACTAGATCTGTGGGTACATGTGCTATTATTATTATCATTTCTCTTGCCTTTTTGATAAGTAAATGGTTATGTTTTAAGATCTACAGTGTCATTACTATGAATGTAAACTGAAATTTATCAGGGATTCAGGAGCCAAAGTTGCAAGAAGGAGTGGTATATTTCCCCATGACAGGAGTACTCTAGGACCCTAAACATTTGTTTGTAACCTTGTGGTACTAGTCCTCAGAAAACCTAGTCCTGCTCCTGTGGGAGCAGGTTAGAGTGAACAAGCCAATCCAGAAACTAAGTGTACACATTCCGCATATGAAAGGTGGCAGTAGGAGGGGAGGTTCTCAAGGGTCACTCCGGTTACCCCAGATCTGTGTAACAGTGTAGGGACTGCCACACCTCTATTGTTTTATTTATACTAGTGCATTATGAGGTCATGAGACAATTGAATTGCTGTTTTGTTTTGTAAGAACCTGCCTCAGCAGGTTTATTTCTAAAAAGTACTCAACAAACAGTTGCCTTATTGCTGTAATTCAAGACAAAGACATGTAGCTTTCTTAGAGGGGAACAGAAGGGAGAGAGAGAAAGAGGGGAAAAGGAGGTATTGAGGGGAAGAAGGGAGAGAGAGAGACAAAAACTGAGTTATTCTTCTGCCCATCAGAAGAACAACTTTCTGTGTTGCATTCACAGGGCAGTAGTAAGGAAACATAATACTCCCAACTTCTCCATTTCCCAATAGAGAAGAGAGGTATCTAGACCTGGGGTGCCCAGAACAAGGCATTTTATCTTAATCAGAAGGAGAGAAAAATGCTCTGAGAAAGAAGGGACCACAGAAGACTTGAATCTTAAATCTGCACATACTGTTTCTAGCACTTGCCCAGCTTCTAGGCCTGCTCTCCTCTGCCTTTTAGAATCCCCAGAGTCCTTCACAGCTCAGTTCAAGCACCGCTCTTTCTACATGAACCCTTTCTTAGTCCCCCTTACATGCTCATGCTATGCCTCCCAAATAATTTTGTATCTATTTTGCATGGGCCTATATGTACTGTTGCCTTCCCTCACTATATTGTAAGCTCCTGGAAGGCAGGGACTGTTTCACGTCTGTCCTTCTGTTCCTAGCAGTTTGCACAATGCCTGGAACATGGTAAGTACTTAGTGAATGCATTTATTGTCTCTGTTGTTGTATTGACACCTAATTGTACCTACCTTATCACTTCAGGGCCTGCCACAGTCTGGCTCCAACATACATTCAGTCTTTTCTTACTCTCACCTTCCAACCTATTATCCATCAACCAAAGAAGCCTTTTTATCGTTTTCGACTCACTCCTTGCCCTGACAGGAATAGTTCAGTGAAGTGGAAAGAGCCCTTGTACTACGTGTCAGAACACCTAGGTATGAATCCTTGTTTTACCTCAGACTCTCTTGTGTCACTACTCTGGAGGCTCAGTTTCCTGTTCTGTGAAATGAGGAAAAGAACTGGCAATACTTAAATCACTGGGTTGTTGTGAGGAAAGTATTTTGTGAACCTTTCAAGTATTATGTAAATGAGAGCTATCATTGTTACTATTATTACCCAGCCATTCAAGGCCCAGCTTAAATTCCTGCATTCTCTTCCCAGTAGTTGTTCAAGCAAAGCCAGGAATGATTCACATTTCTCTAACATTTTAAGACTTACAGAGATATAACCATGAGGCAAGCAGTACAGATGTTATCATCCCTAGTTGGAGCTCATATTCTGTAGGGCAATAAAATAAGTTTACGGATGAATATAGCATAATCTGAGGAGGGGAGAACATTAACAATATGAGGTGACAGGAAAGGCATTTTGTAGGAGGCAGCAGCACCTGAGCTGTCAGGAAGTAGGATTCTAAGAGGTAGAGATGAAAATGATTATATTCCAGGCATATGGAACTGACAGTGGAAAGGAGAGATGAGTATGTGAAGGGGAGTAATGGGAAATAAATCTGGAAAGGTTGGTAGGATTGAGATTGTG